TGAGCTCCGCTCCCGGCTGCAGGCCCGGACCCTCCGGCCCCGCCGCTGCTCACGCTCTCCCTGAAACACACTCCGCTCTCACCCTGCACCCCAGCCTCTGGAAAACCTGAGTCACAGCTGGAACCGGGGCCGGGGGGATTTTCCTGCTCACTTCCTAGGCCTCCCCCCGCCCCAAACTCTCTGACCTGGGCCCCTTCGGAAGGGAGGCAGGCCCCCAGCTCGCTGTTCTGGGGGGGCGGGGCGCTGCAGGACAGCCCCGTCTGTCTGTCCGCAGGGGCCAGCGCTGGGGACCCCGGGTCGGGGAGGAAGTGCCCCATCTGGCGTTCCGCAGAGCTGGAGGGGCGCCTGCGGGAGTGGGAGCCGGGAGCAGGGGGGGATCGTGTGTGTGGCCGAGCGCAGCCCCGCCCCTCCCCTGTCCCCACCCCAAACCCGCTTAATGGAATCAAGCTGGCCCGGCTGCAGCCCGGGGGCGGGAGGCGGGGGGCGGGGTCCGGCGGGGGGGGGGCGGGGGGCGGGGGCGCCGGCCCGGAGCAGAGGCAACTGGCACTCCCCGTCGCTTCACCTGGCGGGAGCACCCAGGCCTGCGTGCGGACAGACGGACGGACTGGTGAGTCCTGGCCGCCCCTCTGCCCCGGGGAGCCTGGGGGCGCTTGGGCTTTAGGGACTGGGGGCCTGCCGCAAGCCCTTTGGGGGGCGTCTCTAAGTTCCTGTGCCTTCTGAGCGTGTGTCGGATGCTGTGTGTGCGCGCGCGCTTGGGATCTGCGCTGAGGGTTCGGGCGGCGGAATGCGTGTGCACCTTCTCTGTGTCCGGCGTGCGGGGCCGGCCCGTGCGTGTGCGTGTGTGTGTGAGCGCGTGTGCAGCTGTGGCCTGACGGGAGAGGATGTGTTCTCGCGAAGTGAGCACCAGGGTGGTTGTCCCAGGGTCAGCGGGGAGGGTCGGGTGGCCCGGGGTGTTCCCCGCCCCCGTCTGGGGTTGGTGGGGGACCGAGTGTGTGTCAGGGGGTTGTGTCTGTGGGCCCGCGTGGCCAGAGAATCAGCCCGTTGTGGGTCTGTTGTGCGCCCTCTGTGTGTCCGTGCTGCTGGGCTGTGCAGACTTTCTGGGGGTGTCTGGGCCTTGTGGGTCCCTGTTGCTGTGTGTGTGTGTGTGTGTGTGTGTTGGGATACAGGTTAGTGTGTCTGTGTTGTGTGTCTGTATATTGTGTGTCCATGCTGCTGCTGCTTTGTGTGGGTGTGTATTTTGAGCCTCAGGACTCCCCTGCCCTCTCCTGGCCTCCCGTCCAAGGGGCCCAAGTCCCTGTCCTTGGCTGCCCCGGGGCAGGGGGGGTAGTGCTTCAGCCAGACCCTCCTCCCCCAAAAGCCACTAATTGAAGCCAGGTTTTCGTCGGCTGCCCCTCCCCCTCTGGCCGCCAGTCTCCCGGTGGGGGTGGGGCAGTGGCTCTGGCCCCTCAGCCTCCTCCCGAGACCCTAGGGGTGGATTTGCATCATCTGCATCATCACCTTTAAAAGCACAAACCCCGAGTGAGATGGGCTCTAGAGGGAGGCCCAGCTCCAAGCTGTGGGTCCCGCACAATCCTGTGGGGCCCACGAAGTCATACCTCCTCCTCATCTGGCACTGCTGTTTCTTGTCCTAACAATAGTCCGGGGAGGTGGCCCTTAGCCCTATTGCACAGATGGGGAAGCCGAGGCTCACAGAGGTGACGTGCCCGACCCCAGGACACGGAGCTGGGCGGTGACTTCCCCTGGGGTTATTCCAACCCGCTCTCCCCTGGTTGTGGGACCCTGGGCTGGCCATTCCCAGTATCGGGCCTGAGTTTCCTCTTGGCTAAAATGAGAGGGGTTGGCCTGACCCCAGGTCCCCGTGGCCTGTGAATTTCTGAGCCCTGGAAAACATTAGGGCCCGGGAAGCGAGACTGACCGTCTCCCGGAAGGCGGTGGGGACAGCTGATGGGCAGACTGATCACTTCGGGGCTGTCCAGGCCAGCGTGCCCACTGTACGGAGGGGAGACTGAGGCCCACAGAGGGCAGGGGCTCATTATGCAGATCATGCAGGGCCACACACCATTGCCTTTGAGGCCCAGCCGACCCCCGACGCTTTGCCTGCTCCTTTCCTGGGGAGCCAGGCTGAGGGGTGTGGGGGACCTGAGAGTCGGGGTCTTGGCCTCTAAGAGCCAGCGATCCTTTGTGTGGCCTCTTTCCTTACCCTCTGTCCCTGACCCCAAGGCTCCGGGGAGAAGGGGGCTCTTCCCTCTGTCCGGCTCATTGTCGTGTGTGTGTGTGTGTGTGTGTGTGTCTGCCTGTGTGTGTGTGTGTCTGCCTGTGTGTGTGTGTGTGTCTGCCTGTGTGTGTGTGTCTGTGTGTGTGTGTCTGCCTATGTGTGTGTGTGTCTGCACACACACATGCCCGCATCCTGGATTCCTGGGGGGCCAGAGCTGAGCTCTCACTCAGCAGGGTGAAGAGCTTGCTCACTGCCCGAGGGGGTGGTGATGAGCTGGTCTACACACTGGGTGAAGGTAACCATCCGCCCACCTGGTGGGAGGACGGGGTTCGTCCCGGGCTCTGCTGGGGTCGGAATGGGGCTGCCCTCGAGCCCCGGCCTTTCCGGGGTGCACAGCTACCCTGTGCCAGACGCTTTCTGCACGTCGTCTGCCCCCGGGCCGTGTGGCTCTGTGGTCAGTTCCCTGCCGACCCCCCGACTTACAGACGGGGACAGTGAGGCCCAGAGGGAGCTGCCCACGGAGCGGGACCCAGCTGGAGCCCCCGGGGCCGCTCATAGCCACCCTCTGTGGGGAGAAGCCTCGGCTGCCACCACCACCAGAAGTCTCTCTCAGGCTTGACTTGCAGGAGGGCAGGGAGGTGACCGGCGGACGAAGACCCTGAAGATCAAAGCCGTCTGCAGGGACCTTTGCTAACACGTTCGATGTGAGGTGCCGGGAAGGCCCCCCTCTTCCAGCTCATGCGTGGTGTCGTCCAGGGGTGTCAGCTCATTTGGGGGCCGGCCCCGGGGTCACATGAGAGCGCGTGTGCGGGGTGTGTGTGTGTGTCTGTGTGTGCATGTGTGTGGGACGTATATGTGTGAATGTAGGTATGTGCATGTGTAGTAGAGGAGTATGTGTATGTGTCGTGTTTGTGTGTGTATCATGTGTGAATGTGTGCATATGCATGTATGGTGTGTGTGTGCGTGGTGTGTGTCTGTGTGGTGTGTGAGTGTGTGTACGTATGTATGTACGTGTGTGTGGTGTGAGCATGTGGATTCTCAGACTCACCCAGACAAAGGTTCAAATCCCAGCTCCAACAGGTACCATCTGTGTGTCCTTGGGCAAGTCACTGTCCGTCTGGGGACCTCTAGCCCCTCAACAGCGTTGAACTCTAGGGTGGAGCTCTAGGGCTGCTCTAGGGTTGAGCCCCGGCAAAGGGGGTGGGGGCTTCCCCCACGATGAAAGCACAGGATCATCAGCCCCCCCCCCCCCCCCCCATTTAAACCGAAACTCTGAGTAGTTTTGCCTCTTTTTATGTCCCGGAATTACCTTTGGGTTTTCTTGGTCATCGGAGCCCATTTGTCCAAATTGATGTCAGTACAATTAATTTCAATTAGTGCTACTTAATTGGGAGGCCTCAGGTCAGTTGGAAGAAGCCACTCAACGTCCTGACATCATAACTACCTCACTCCCCAAATCCCCACGGGGACCCCTGAGGCCGGGACTGCCAGCCCTTTTAGGAAGCAGGCCTTGAGGACTGGGCACCCAAGGGGACACACAGCCCAGGTGTTGGGAACCTGACCTCTGCCTCCAGCCCAGGACCTCGCTCTGTGGCCTTGGGCCTACCCCTCACCTCCGGGCCCCTGTCCCCCATCTCGGGCCCCTGAGAGAGGGTGTCAGACAGGGGATCCCAAGGCTTTTCTGTCCTGGCGCTTCGAGCCCCGCCCGGGTCAGGAGGGGCTTCTCAGGGAGAGACAGCCCACGAGGGTGCAGAGAAAGGGGCTCCTGGGATTGTCTGAGGGCCCAGCCTCCCTCGGGCTGGCGGGGAGAGCCCGTGTTTTAGGAGCTGGCCTCCTCCGCAAACCTGGACCATGCGGAATGTATTAGTCAGCCTGGCTGTCTGGGCCAGATGGGGTCTGGGGGTTCATGTCGGGAGCAGCCTTCCAGCGGGGGGAGCGAGAGAGGGGCGGGGTTCATCTGGTTCCCATTTAGTGGTGGCCCTAGGACTCGGGCTCCAGCTTCGTCTCAGGCACGCGGGTTCTCCCCAGCCCCTCCTGGGCCTGCAGGCCCTGCTTTGCGCCTTGAGGTGAGGGTTAGCCACGGCTCCTGGCATCCAGGCCCTCTGCTGAGCTCAGGGAGTCTGGAAGCTTCAAAACCTCTGAGTACCCCGGAGGAGGGGACTGGGACCAAGGAAGGGCCAGCTGTTGGCGAGGGTTCCCTGGAAAAGGAGGGGTCAGCTCCCTCCGTTGCTCCATTTCTTACTTGCTCCCGGCCCGACCCAACCATTTCTCCCTCCGTGCCTAGCTCGAAACCCCCCGCTCTTGCCTGACAGTGACTTCACTCCTCTGAGCCTCAGTTTCCATACCTGGAACCTGGGGATAATAACAGTACCTCCCCCACTGGGTGGTTCTCAGGATTCAATGACATTCTACGTAAGAAACTCAGAATAGTACCTGGCACGTGGTAAGCAATGAAAGGGTAAGTTATTATTACTTCAGCCAAGTCAGCCAAGATGCATTTATGGAGCACTTACTGTATACCAGACATGGTATGAAACCCTGAGGGTGCCGAGGTAAATAAGAATCAGTCCCTGCCCTCTAGGACTTCAGGGTGAAGTGGGGTTCCTCATGGGGGGGTCCCTCCAGGGGCTCAGGATGAAGTGGAGGGGCAGACAAGAACCCCACGTGTGAACGAACAGGGTCCATTGTGTGGTGGGCAAGGGAAGAGACCCGCTAGAATACGCTCTGCGTCCGCCAGGGCCCCGGAGTTCCACCCCGACCTCTCTCCTGCCTCACTGCCCCACAGGTCTGGGACGAGATGGTGTTGGTGGTGGTGCCCAGGCTGGTGGTATCTCTGCTGCTACTCCTCAGGGCCCTGCCCACGGAGGCCTACTCCGTGGCCCTGCAGGCTGCCTTCCTGGAGGATACAGGGGGCAGCGGGGAGGCTGAGGGCTCATCGGCGTCCTCCCCAAGCCTCCTGCCGCCCCGGACCCCGGCCCTCAGCCCCACGTCGGTGGGGCCCCAGCCCACGCCCCTGGCAGGCCCCAAGCCCCCCACCAACTTCCTGGACGGGATCGTGGACTTCTTCCGCCAGTACGTGATGCTCATCACCGTGGTGGGCTCCCTGGTGTTCCTGCTGATGTTCATTGTCTGTGCCGCGCTCATCACCCGCCAGAAGCACAAGGCCTCAGCTTATTACCCCTCGTCTTTCCCCAAGAAGAAGTACGTGGACCAGAGTGACCGGGCCGGGGGGCCCCGGGCCTTCAGTGAGGTCCCCGACCGGGCTCCCGACGGCCGGCCCGAGGAGGCCCTGGATTCTTCCCAGCAGCTCCAGGCTGACATCCTCGCTGCCACCCAGAACCTCAAGTCCCCCGCCAGAGCTGCCCCGGGCAGCGGAGATGGAGCCAGGATGGAGGGCAAGTCGGAGGGAGAGGAGAGCGGCGGCCGGGAGGCGGACCAGGAGGCCCAGGGACGTGGGAGCCCAGCGGAGAAACCAGGGGTCCTGGAGGAGCCGGGCACGGCGGTGGCGGAGGGGGCCCTGGAGGCCGGCCAAGGCCAAGGCGAGCCGGAAGTGGCTCCTTCGTTAGCCCAGGAAGCCAGGGGAGCCGCTGGTCCCCCTGAGAGCCCCTGTGCTTGCAGTGTCGTCCCCAAGGTCTAACAGGCCTCTGGGGCTACTGGCCCTGACTGTCGGACCCCTCGTGGTCACCTCCATGGGTGTGGAAGGGCCCTTGACCCTTACCGCTCCCCGACAACCCCTCCTTGGCCACCCCCTGCTGCAGGCAGAGATGCTGGTCTCCAGCGTACCCCAGGAATCTCCCCGGGTTCCAGGACCATTTGCCCCCGCGGCCCCAAACACAACGTCTCTGGGGAGGGGGGATGGGAAGGATCCCCACTATATTCATGATACTATATCCCATGAAATTAGCCCTGTCATTTGGGCAAACATATGCCACAGGTCCCCCGGGATGGTGCCAACATTGCCGCTTTTCCATGGAGGTAGGGAAGAAAAGTCAGAGTAACTAGGAGTTTGGGATGAGGGTGACTGGGACCTGCTGAGGTCCCCCCCCAACCCTCACCGCCCCCACCCCCCCCCCCGGGCGGGAGCTGTTAGAGCTACTGGAGAAGTGGGTCTGGGGAGTCAGGAAGCTTCCGAGAGGCCAGTGCACACATCATGACGGGTCCCTACGTCAGCATGTCCAAGGCTGGGTTCCCCGAGCTACTCTGTGGAAAAAGGATTTTGGGGTCCAGTGAGTTGAGGAGACACTGCCTCTCCGCTCCCTGCAACGCCCCCTTAGAGCACCCCAGGGCTCTGCAAATACTCCAGTAGAAGCCCCTGTGGAATCTGGTTTTGCTTGTTTTTTTTTGTTTGTTTGTTTGTTTTACAGCTACAGAATAAAATCTTGCAGAGCACACTTTGGAAATTACTGCCCCAAGTGTTCCTGAAGGTGCCCCCCAGTTTGTGGTTGCTCTGGGGTTAGGGTTGTGGGGTCCGGGGGCTCAGGCCCGCTCAAGTTCTGCCAAGCATCTCTGCCTGGGGACGAATTTCTCCTCCCGTTACTGCTACAGGCATGGGGTGAATGAATCGAACCTTTCTTGTCAGGCCCCCAAAGCCGCCCAGAAGCTGGGTGGGGGCTGTGTGTGAAGGGGGTCCCACTCTGGAGGGATTCTGAGGGGGTAGGGAAGGGTTTCTAACACCCAGCCTGGAGCAGGGGGGCCCTAGCCCCCGACCCTTTGCTTACATGTGTGTCTGGTAGCCTGAGCTCACAGAATTCTTTAGCCTTCGACAAGGGAGCCTGAGCTCCGTCCTGATTCGGGGAGGCTCTGGGTGGGGGGTGGTCCACTTCCTCATCCCTCCATCTGGGCTCCCCCCAACCTCTGCACAATTTTTTAGGTGCTGAGATATAGCAAACCAGCACAATAAACCTTTATTCTGGCCTGAGCGTCGATGGTTTTCTGAGGGGGAAATGAGTCTGCTGGGGAGGGGGGTGGTATTTCTTCTGGGCTGTTCCATGGGGTGGGGCAGCTTTCTGGGGGAGACACATCAGGCAGGCCAGAAGCTGAATGAGATGAGGTGGAATGAGATGATTCGTGAAAAGAGGGCAGAACGGGGTCCCCCATGGGAACGCGGCGGGACCTCTTGCCCCAAGGCTGAGCCCAGCCCTGGACTTGCGGCCACGGAGACCCGGCTTCCAAGAGCAGTTCTGCAGTGCACTGTGGCCGCAGGAGATCCACCCGCCTCCTTCTCCGGGAAACATGAGCCCAGTCTCCCGTTTCAGTCTCCCATCTGCTGGCAGCGTGGCCGAGGCCTGGAACTGGGCTCACTGACGATGCCCTGCTCCCGGCACCTTGGCCTGGGGCTGGAGGCGGCCCTGGCCTTTGTGTCCTCGCCCCGCCAGGCTCTTCCTTGCCTTTGATGGCAAGTTCCTGGGGCCGCTGCTCCCCCTCCTCCCTGGAGCTGCCAGCTGGAATCCAGATGTGGCTGCGTTGGGAGCACGTGCTAGATCCCGGGGTGAGGGGGGCAGGGAGGCCATCCCCCCACCCCCAGCCCCTCCCTCCGCTGACCCCACTTCCCTTCGGAAGGGGGCCGGGTTTGGGTTTCATAACACACAATGGCCTCTGTCTCTCACAGCGGGGAAGGGCCCTCCCTTTCTCAGCCCAGACCGGCTCCCGCCCAAGAATGTAGGGAAAATCCAATATGGATACCTGGATGCTGTGTGGCTCTGACCAAATCACTCAACCTCTCTGTGTGTGACAGGCTATCTCCTAGATCCTGAGCTCCTGCAGGGTCCTAGATGATTGGGTGTGGCTGGGGTATGCATTAAGCTTCCCCGTAACAGGTTAAACTGAGGTAAGACAGAAGCAGATGTTAGAGATTCCTGGGGAGGAGGCAGGGATGACTTTTGCAGTCAGCAGCTCCCTGGTCATTGGCTCCCCATTAATGGGCCCGCCAGAGGACATGAGGCGTGCGGCCTTAGTTATGGCCTGTGTCCCCTGGGACTGACGGGGGTGGGGACTCAGAGGTAGTTGGAGCCCAGAGCAGGTGTCAACCTCCCCGTCACCTCTGAGCTTTAACAGCTACTATTCCCTCTGCCTAGGACACCCTTCCACACCCCCTCCTTGTCCAGCTAACTCCCCCTCCTCCTTTAGCTTCCAGCCTAGCTGTCACCTGCCCTCCGCAACAGCCCCCACCCAGACTCTCTCCCACACTCCCCTGGGCTCAATACTACTAATAATTGCTCACAGCTAATGAGCACCTGTGATGCACCCAGGCACTGCTCTAAGCCCTGAACGTCATTTACTCATTGAGACTCCCAACCCGAGGAGAGGGATCCTGCTGTTATTCCCATGTCGCAGAGGGGACATCAGTTTCCTAGGTCACAGAGCCAGCATCCTGGTCCCATCATCTGATTCTAGACTGACTTCTCCCTTGGGCTCGACAGCTGCTTGCATGAATGAATGTGTGAATGAAGCCCTTGGGGAGGAGAGAGCAGGGCCCCACTCCTGCTTAGAGCCCCTCTAGGGTGGACAAACATCTGGCCAGGCACCAGCGGAGGGTGAGCTTTGCGGGGAGATGGGCTGGGGGTACGTGTGGGCTGGTGCCAGGCGAGGGGGAGACCTGGGCTGGAGTGTGGGAGTGCAGGGGGTCCGTGGGGTGCTGGAGGGACCTCTTCCGCGTGCCCTGACTTTCTCTGATCAGCCCAAGGGGCTGGTGTTCGCTGGCTGGGGGTCACATCCAAGGCGAGGGGACAAGGGGCAGAACTCACGTCCCTGGGGAGCTCTGCACTAGGCACATGGTCTTGCACCCTCCTGGGGTGGTTCAGGTAGTTTGGGCCCTGGGGGGAGACTGCCTGTGTCAATGCCCGCTGTACCATTTCGTAGCTGTGTGGCCTTGGGCAAATGTCCTCACCTCTCTGCGCTTTGGTTTCCATGTGCGTAAAGAGATGATCCTACCCTACCTGGCAGGTCTCAACCTGCACACTGGGATTGTCTGAGAGCTTTGTTATGTCATACCTCCTGGACTCCACCCAGACCATTTATTTATTTATTTGTTTATTTAAATAATCTCCACGGGGCTCGAACTCACGCCCCCAAGATCAAGAGTCGCATGCTCTACCGACCGAGTCAGCCAGGCGCCCCCCGCTCCCAAGGCCGATTAAATCAGAGTGTCCAAGGGTACGGCTGGGCAACTGTCACTGCCTGGGGGGCTGTCCACCACTGTCCCCCTGGCATGGGGCATGGTGCCAGGAACTGAGGACGCACCATTGGCACAACAGATCTGAAGCTGTAACTGAGTGGAGGAGATGAAAACGAATCAAAGAATCACCTAGATGCAACCACAGTGATTAATAACAGGAACGGCTGCCATATATAAATGCACTATTATACGTGTCTGGTGCTTTACTGATATTAGTTTTTACAGCTTTATGGAGGTATAATTGACACACAATAACTGCACATGTTTAAAATGGCAATTTGATAATTTTGACATACGCATATACTCATGAAGCCATCGCCAAAGTCAAGATAATGGACGTGTCCATCACCTCTGACTGTTTCTTCGTACCTCTTTGCGATCTCTGCTGGCTGTTTCCCCCCCACCTCAGTCCCTAGACCACTACTGACCTGTTCTCTATCTCTATGACTCATTTTTATTTTCTGGAATTTTATATAAATGGAACCATATAGTGTACTCTTTTTATCTGGCTTTTTGCATGCAGCACGAATGTTCTGAGATTTATTCATGTTATTGTATGTATTAACATTTCACTGCTTTTTACTGCTGAATAGTATTCCCTTGTACGGATGTACTGCAATTTGTTTATCCATTCACCTGCTGATGGACGTTTGGGTGGTTTTCCAGCTTGTGGCTATTACAGATAAAGCTGCTGGGAATTACCGATGTTCGTTTATTTTATCCTTCCAACCTTCTTAATGAGATGGTCATTATTTGTCCCCATTTTACAGATGAAAACAACGGACTCAGAGAGGTCGAGTAACTTGTCTAAGGTCACACAGCCAGGAGTGGGAGCATTGAAACTTAAAGTGGGAATGTTTGAGCTCAGTTACTGTAGGGAGCTTCTGAGGCTCAGAGGGTGTCAGAAATCCTGCCCTAAACCAGCCCCCCACATTTCATATGTGGACAGCCAAGGAGCAGACTGGGACTGGGGCCCATCCAGAGCTGACCAGGAATCCAGGTCTCTGGTGGGCAGTCTTGTGCTGTGTCTAGCTCTGCTGTGCTTCAGCTCTAGCTCCTCATCTGCTGTTGGGGAAGAAGCAGGCCAGTGTGGAGGGGGACAGGGATTTGTCATTTTTCTCGGGTGGTTTTAATTTCAGGATTCCTCCGGCTGCTCAGAAATAGCAGGAAGGATTTGGCACTGGCTCCAGGGCCCCACGGGGGTTCCCCCGCAGCTGCTCCCCCTCCCCAAATGGGTCCAGGGTTTACAGCGGCAGCTGCAAAGTATAAAATAGTCCCGCTCGTAAATCCGCTCTTGCCAGGGTCCCTGATGCCCGAGGCCTCTGCAGTGCCCAGCACGGGCATCCCACCACCCACTGGGGCCCCACAGGGCACCTGGGGGTGCCCTGGAAGGCTGGAGGGTCCAGGTCTATGGGTGGCCACCTGCGGCCCCTGCCATAGGGTTTGGGGAACCGGACTCAGCG